CTTTTACAACTAATGTGTGGTTCTGAAGCATGGACTGCCTGCTTCTGGAAGATATGCTTATGGCCTATGAGTAAGATGCTGTGTGCATAAATAAACAAGGTGATCGTTAGTTTCCTTAGGAACTGTTAACATTTAAGTTAACTACTACTTAATGTTTAAGTAGTTAAACATTAACAACATCTGTGATTGTGCCTGGGAGCAGATGCTCTGGACCCACTGGAGGAGTACTGAGAGAAGGGACACCAGATGTCTAGATACACATAAAATATGAATGGAGCCCCTTGGACTTGGTCAGAGAATAGCATGTGGTAGCTGTATGCAAGATGAAAGAATAGATATACAGTTTATTCATCCCCTAGCATGGCAATATTTAAAACTACCCTCCAAGCTGGTTCAGGATAAGTTTTACAGTTAATTTTATAAATGCTTCATGTGATACCAGACACCCATCAAATACCCCACTATCTGTACACTGCATAGGATCTCTGAATTCACCAAGTCAGACTAGAAAAACAATATATTACTAACAAGCTAAGAAAGTGGATTTAAATAATAAAGAAGGTTAAAAAGTGAAGAGATAGAACATAAAATAAATGGAAAACAAGTAAGTTACTAGATATAAAATTTCAATGGACTAATAAACAAAATTTTACTAGCCTGGGGCAGGAGGGTGGGGGGAATCCCAGGTATAAGTTGCTCAGAAAAACATACCTTAAATATCGGGAAACTGAGACACCAAAAGAGTGGCAAAGATATGCAATGCAAACACTAGCCAAAAGGAATTCAGTACAGCTGCCATTAGGGTGAAGGTACTCTTTACATCATGAAGCTTTACTGACAGAAAGAGCTATTAGTCAATAACTGAAGGCAACAGTTGTAACTTTCTATGCATCTTTTTAACATAGGTTAAAATATGACAGAACTAAATGGAATGCTGACTTTTATATAAGAGGTTGGAGTTAGAATGTGTCTATAAAAAGGTAAAATTCCTTCCCACAGGAACAAATAAACAACCAACAGAGTAACAAGAACTCAAGGACAATCAATAGTTATAGAGTAAAATGTAAGCAAGGGAGACTGGGGAGATGACTGAGTAGGTCAAGTGCTTATGATGCAGGCATGAGGACCTGTAACCGGATCCCCAGCAACCATGTGAAAAGCCAGACATGGCCATACATTTCTTCAAGCCAGTACTGGAGGGGTACAGACAAGTAAATTCCTAAGGTTTGCTGAAAGACCAGTCCTGCCAAAACAGTAAGCTCCATGTTCAATGAAAGACTGCCTCAAAATATGTAAGTGGGAGACTTAATAGAAGACATCAACCTCTAGCCTTCACATTCACACACACACACACAGAGAGAGAGAGAGAGAGAGAGAGAGAAACAGAGACAGAGAGAAAGATAAAATTAAATTAAGCTTAAAAGTCAGCAAGGTATAGAACTCTATAATACCACAATCAAAGGGACATTAAACAGAACAATGTACTAACCAAAGATAAAATATGTATTTTTTAGAACAAAGAAAATTTACTAAAATTACCTTGATGCTAGGCCATAATGCTAAGGATTTTTAAAATGACAGAACATGTTTCTAACCACAGTAAAATTAAACTAGAATCCAGTTGTCTTTAATAATTTAATTAGAATCCAATTGTCTTTAAAAATTACTTTTGAAAATCTCCAAATACTTACAAATAGCAGTGAGTAATAGCTCTTATTAATAAAAATAATGATCAGATACACTTTACACCTTCAAGAGTTAAAGCTCCTTCTGCTAGGATAGAACAGGCAGTCATGGAAAACAGAATTGCACACAGGGAAGACTGTGGCATGTGCATTATAAGGATGCCAGGCAAGGTTGTGGGTGAGTTCAGGAGGGGAACAAGGGCATGACCTATGACCTGTGAGGGTGGGTGGCCAGGGAAGGTCTTGTAGGCATAGAGAAGATTTAGGGTTAGACCTTACAGAATGGGAAGAGCTTGATCATAAGACTGAAGAAAGAGGCCGTGGATGCCATGCGTTGAGTGATACAGCTAGCAACAGATGAGGGCCATGCCAAGGCATGATCTAAACTTCAGACATTTAGACTGGTGAAAAAGTCTAGTGGGAGTGCAGCAAGGAAGAAAGGATGAAGGGGACAGATGCTGAGTGCCAGGACAGGTGCTGTGGGTGTTATTCTGAAGCCCACAGTGGGGATGACAGGAACCTTTTAAAGCTAACCCTGGGGGAAGCAGTCTGGCGTTTGTGTGTGGCATGAACTGTAGCTGGTAAACTAGGGAGCACAGAGCGGGGAGACTGAGAGAAAGCTCAGCCTTGACAGTTGATGTGATGGGGGAAGGAGAGAGAAAGGAGCTGTAGAGAAGCCCAAGCCTCCCTCCTAACAGCCACCCACATCCCTCACTCGCACAGCAGCCTAACAATGCATTAAAATCACTGCCTAATTGCTCCTTTCAAAGTTAATGCTCTGAAATGGGGAAGTGTGTGTTTAATGTTTAGTCTCATCTCTGCCGCCCAAGCCCCAATTTGAAAGCCAAATCTTTTTTAAAAATAGAATGAGATAAACCCCTAGACACAGTTCCGACCCTCAGAATCCCACGTTTTCCTCTTTCAAATCTGTCTTTCTCTGGCAGTTTGAGCAGGTGACCTGGGAATCCTGTCTGGATGGAATCCTCCAAGTATCAGCAGCTTCCTCCTAGCTCCATTCCTGAACTCTCAGGCAGAGCCCAGGAAGCTTAAAGTTAGGCCAAGACATGACTGTTTCAGCCCCTTCAGGCCCACAGCCCCCTTTCCCTCTACATGAAGGCCATCAACTGGAGCAGGGTGGCCCACAGGGACACCTGGCCACACTCAGTCTAGAAGGAAATGGTTTCCTCTCCTGTCCTCAGTGATCACCACAAGCAATGAATGGGACACAGTCAATCTTTGTGCTCCTGGGTTTACAACCTCCTCCAACATCCCATCTGCAGCACTGCCCACTGACATTGCAATTGTAACTTTCCTACCAGCACACCAAGAAAAGGGGCAGGAATGGTACCTTTTCCACTGTTCTTTCCAGGCACCCAAGCCCACCAGGCATCCTTCCAGCCAACTCCTCTGTAATTCTCCTTCTTCTGTTAGGATTTCCTAGCCAAACCTCCTTCCCTCACTTCCCTGTTACCAAGGACACTGATGTTACCATACAGTTGTACACTTCTGTTACGTCTTCTAGTTATAGTTCCCATGTCTCTACACTTCCTGGAGCAGCTCAGTCCTGGTTTTCTGTCTTTAGTCTCCTGGCTCGATCCTTTGAGCGGTCTAGAACCTCCAAATCCATGAAACTCCCTAAGTCTCCATTCCCTTATTTATAAATTAAAGATAACAATATTAGAAACATCAAGATGATTATAAGCATTATATGAGATAAAATGTATAGGTCAGCCTACACTAAAAGCTTAGAAAATAGTAATTACAATTGTGATTAATCAAGTTTATCGAAAACTCTGATCTTGACTCTGAGCTGGGGCTTATATTCATCATAAATATGCTGCGTGTGTTTATCTGGGTACCGCAACATACACCTGATCATCAGCATGGGAGAGTATACGGTGCTACAGAAACAGAGCTAAGGAGAATGCTCTAAGTATTGTACATACCTGGCACAGTAGCCTGCCTTCTCAGCCATGCCTGTCAATTCTGTTATCTACCCTGATAATACATAGTATGTCTGTGTCTGTGAGAGAAAATGAGTATCCTGCCAAAGTCTGGATGATTTGGATTGGATCCCTGTTCTGTATAGCTCAAGAGCCCTCTTTTCCTTCTGCTCTATACTAGAGTACATGGTACTAGATATGGGGGGTGTGGCACTCAGAGAACCACCCAGGGAGCTGCATCAGCTGCTAAAAGCTACTGAAATTCAAGCATTCATGTAACCAACTGGTGAGTGCCAATACCATTGCTAAGAAGCAGAAATGCTTCACCTACTGGCAAAGTCTTTACAACTGTTACCCAGACTTGCATACAAAGAACACACCAGAGACTTTCCCAGGAATATTATCCCCCCTGGAGTTGAGGTAAATGGTTCCCTTGGGAGATGTTAATGGTCTCTGTCAATTGGCTTTTCATCAATGAGACAAAATACCTGAGAGAAACAATTTTAAAGATTTACTTTGACTCATGATTTCAGAGCCTTCAGCCTACAATGGCTTGATCCCATTGCTGTGACCTTGTGTTCAAACAGAACACCAAGGCAAAGATCACAGAGTGGAACAAAGCTGTTCACCCATGGTAGCCAGGGAGCAGACAGTAAGCAAGGGTCCAGGGGAAAGATAAAAATCTTCAAAGTCTCTCCTCAATGACCTACCTCCTCCAACTAAGCCCCACCTACTCAGAGCCAGCCCACTGCTGTGAAGTTGTTAATGGATTAATGAGTCCTTTCACAAGATTAGCCCCTCATGGTTCTGTCACTCAATAGCACCAACATCCAGGAACCTAGGTTTCAAAATAAGCATCTTTTAGGCAGACTATTAACATTCAAACCATAAAGTAGTCCCTGAATGGTCTCAGGTGCTAGTACAGAGAAGGGGACCAGGAGATGGAGAAAGGTAGGTTGAAAACGGGAGTGAGGGGGGAAGCTGCTAAACCTTAGTGCTAAAGTCCCAAAATTCCATGCTTAAGTTTCCAACTTTCTGTTGGGGTCTCTCCTTTCCTTAAAGAGGGTCTTAAGCAAAGGCCATTATCATGGTCTGAATGTAGCTAAGCCTGGGGGTAAGACATAGTCCCGGGCACAGCACTTTTCAAACTTTAGTATGCCACAAAATACCCTAGGGCTCTTGTTGAGAAGCAGAGAACTCAGCCTGGTGTGGGCTTGAGATTCTGCATTTCTAACAAGGTCTAGGAGACACCATTGCTATTGCCCCATAGGCCACACTTGGAGCCATGAGCTCCAAACACCCTTTCCCTTTGGCTTAGGACACTGGGAAGCCTGCTGTCTCAGCACCCTGCCTGCTGTGTTTCTCTTCATAGATGGTCAGAATGCCACGTGTACGGAGCCCACTGAGCTGTCAGGGTGGCCCATCGCACGGGTGGGGAACCCACTCCAGTACATGTGCATCACACACCTGAACCACCAAGACTACATCTTCCTACTGCTCATCGGCTTCTGCATCTTCGCTGCAGGCACTGTGGCCGCCTGGCTCACAGGTGTGTGTGCTGTGCTATACCAGAATGCCCGCCGAAAGTCAGGTGGGGATGATACCGAAGATGAGTCTGGGAATAGGGTCACCAAGCAGATTTTCCGAAGAAACGCTTACTCCAGCCAGGGTCGATTCCCTCATCTGATCTAGCTGTCAGAGAGCACTACCAATTGTGCCTTCCCTGGTCTGGCTCCCTGCTTTCTCTCTCACCCTCCCATCTTACCACCACTGTCTTGGAGACTGAAACCTCTCAGTAAAATAAAGTATTTGGTGGTCATTTCTGAGGCTGGTCCCTTCCTGCTATACCACTTCCTTGTGATCAGCAGAATGGAGTGAAACAGACTCAAGAAAAGTTGTTGGATTCATCTAAATGCCAAGGAAGTCCACCCTAAAAGCAAATGGTCTTGTATCTAATTACTATGTGTCAAAAGTAAATGCTGGAGAGAGATGAAAAATCCAAAACTTAAAGTCTTTCTCAAAGAGCAAACAATCTGCAGTACAGATCAAAGTACTATGTGGCTATGAGTTACCTTCACATGCCATCTCATAATTATCAGATATTAGTATAACCTACCTGTAAGATGAGGACTGGCATATTTAACCACTGTCCGCAAACACTTAGCAACGTATCTAATATAGTTAGATATAATAACTATGTTACAATGCCTTGGCCAAACAGAGATATGAGGTGCACAAAGGTGCCACTAGTAACAGAATTCTTATCAGGTGCCTAGCATTGTAACCAGCTCTGCACACATTTCGCCTACTAGATTCTCTCAACAACAGGGCCAAGTGGTCAGTGTGACCCTTGTTATTTCTGAGGTACTTCGTCATACAGTAGCAAACTCCAGTTTGTAAAAGTGTGATAAGAAGGAGGGCGATTGTTGAACTGTTGGCTGCCTGACACCAACACTGATGCCCTGTGCCTCCGTGCTCTGTGAGCTGCTGTCCTGCTTGAGGTGTTCAGCAGAGCAGTGAAGTACACATGGGTGTGGTCCCACTGTCAGTGATGCACACATAAAGGGAAAGCAGTAAAAGAGAAGGGCAGCTCGATGCAGGTGTAAACACACACTCCAGGTTTCTCTTTGATTGCTACCCAGATCAAATCAAACTCCCGGTTATGGTTGAAATGATAATCCCCACCCACAAAAGTGGCTGTCCCTGAAGCCCCAACTAGACCTATTCTACTTCTAAATCTCTAATCACCACTGTCCTTCAGTTTGTTTAGTGCAATGATTTAGAGCTTAGGCCTTGAATGAGAAGCTGAGATCCCATTCCCAGTTCTGTATTTAATCACTATGTAAATTCAGATTTCCTACTCATAAGAATGACCTCAAGTGCAGAGAGCATCTTCTTTCATTACCCTGTTCTCTACTTTGGTGCCTCAAACAAAGCAGGGGCTCAGTGTTAGCTATTGCACTCCACTCAAAGCCCAGTCCAGCAACCATTCCTGCCTTGTCATCCTAAAGTGAGGAGTGACCATGGAGGAGTTATTTCACATCCGTATGGTGCCTCAGTTTCTTCCTTTGTATATGACATAAATCACAGTATATGTCATCTAGGAAAGCTGAGAATAAAATGAATATTAATCATGAAAATCTATTTTAGTAAAATTTGTGTTGTGGAATAACTTCAGACTTACAGACAACTTGCAATGAAAGTCTCCAAGTACCTTATCCGGCTTCCACTAACACCACCTCATATTTTACACAATGGTATATTTGTCAAAACTAACAAGCACATCGGAATATTGTTTCTCCTTGTTTTGTTTTTTGAGACAAGGTTTCTCTGTGTGGCCCTGGCTGTCCTGAAACAAGCTCTATAGATCAGGCTGGCCTCTAACTTGCAGAGATCTGACTACCTCTGCCACCAGAGTGCTTGGATTAAAGGCATGTGCCACCACAGCCCAGCAAGGATATCACTCTTAATAAAATTCCAGACTTATCTAGCGTTTACCAGTTTCTTCCTACCTTTTTCTATTCTATGATCCAATGCAAAATACCACATTGGCATTTAGAACATTTTTATAATAATAGTAATTATATCTAACATATATTAGGTAGTTCTAGAAGTCAGATGTTATTTTAAGTTTGTGTGTACACACACATACACACACACACACACACATATATATGTATATATGTATATATATAATTATTGAATCATTAGAATCTTATTAAGTCAGTATTACTCAATTAGAGTATGAAATTGGGATTTAAGAGGGAAAATTGCTTGCTAAATGTTACACAGCTAACAAGGCCAGAAGTCAAACCAGCTCTACCTGATTATATATAGTTTTCTCCAACATATTTTTCAGTGTTTTTATTAATCCTTTGAGGATTTCATACCATATATTTCAATCACATTCACCCCCAGTACCAAACTATAACTCAATACTACCTTAGAAACTTAGAGTAACAAGAAAGTCTTGACAGAAGAAACAGAGCTGCTTTTTTTCACAGTAGCTTCACCAGAGTGGACTGAGCAGCTGGTCAAAAGGGCCCTGAGGAGGCCACAGGGCATGGGGGTTCTGGTACTTCTTGGTGGAGACACATGGCAACAGAGTGCTGAGTGGGAGATAGCCACACAGTTAGGAGGAGCTCAAGGGGGAACACACCCCCAGTATGAAGTAAGGAGTGTGTCAGAAGCTTTCCAGAAAGAAGAGACCTCTAAACTGGAGCCTAAAGGCAGAGGTAGGATTATCCAAAGTGGCAAAGTGAGGAGGTAGGGTACAAGAAGGCTTTCTAAGCAACAAGAACTGCATGCAAAAACGCTGTGCTGTGGGAAGAGCCTATTGCAGTCAGAATATACAGTCTAAGAGAAAGAGGGGACACAATGCTAGAGAGAGAGGCAGAACCAGACCCCATAGGCCTTAGATCCCTTCCATTAGTCGGCATTTCGATATGCTACACCGAGTAACAGATAACTCCAATGTATCACTGACTTAGCACACTTCTTTCTTATTTGTGTAAAATCACATGGGCAGGGCAGCCTCTCCCCCTGCTATATAGTTACATAATCTAGAACATGAGCCCTGGAAAAAGAAAATAAAGGTACATTTCTGGACCTAAGCAGTTAATGACACATGTAACTTCCATTCACTTTTTTATATGGTTGCCCCAACCTTACTGTAAGGAAAAGCACATGACAGGAAGATAAAAATGCTATGGCAATAAAAAGCAAAAAACCAAAACAAAACAAACTGTCTCTACCTCACCAAGATAAGGGATTTGAATTCCCTACTGAAATACACTGGAGAATTTTATTCACAAAAGTGCTATCTAATTATTTTTTGCTTTGGAAAGTTCATACTGGGACTAGAACATTGGCTTGGCATACTTGGGGTCCTGGGTTTAATTCCCATCACTGCAAAAAGAAGAAGAGGGGGAGAAAGGCTCATTCACACTTAACCCTGGTTATAGGTAAAGAAGAGATGAGTGAGACACAAGAGAGAAGATGTGAGACCAGCTGTGCTGCATCTTCCCCTAGAGACACAAGGGAAACTAACCGAGGGCAGTAGACATGCAGGCAATGAGAACTGGAGAAGTCTTAGAAATAAGACCAGAAATACAGTTTGATGGGTGGCTAAACATGAAGATGGAGAAGAATTTCTGGAGGGAAGATTAGGAAAAATTATGGTGCCCAAAGTTCAGATTTGGACTACCAGGTAGCTGGTAGCACAAGTCACTAAGAGAGTCTCACAGCATACTGGAGGCAAAACATAAAAACAAACACCTGGATAATCCATAAAATGTGGGGAAGTGACAGGGACATGTATGGAAGACCCAGCAGCAAGAAAGAGCTAACTGCTCCCCCTCAGTGGAGTGACAGATAGTATCTGAAACTGAAGTCACATAGGAGCAATATGTGTCTTTTGGAGGTATCAAGAGTCAGTCCAATGGGTTTCAAGTGTCTGTCTCTTGGGGACAGATGCATGGAGCAGGATGGAAAACTGCTGTTGTCATGACTACTGTTGTACAGCTGCTGCTTTCTAAATAAAGATGGGCATGTACACTTGATTCAAATGGGTGTTTAAGAATAGAAAGGACAGATGACCTTGTCTACAAAGTTGTTGTCTTCCACGAGGTATCTTTACCCATCCTCCCCAGAGGCAGCCATCATGACTCTAAAAGGAAGCATACCCATGTTCACACTACCCACTGTACTTCACTGGCACTGGGCCCCTGAACTTGGGTTCCAGAAAAATCAATGGGATATTTTGTACAGGATGCCATGTTTAATGTAAATCTTGAAAACATATATAGACTTTTATGCCATTGGAATGTTGGATGTTGCAAGTGAAAGCTTGGAAGTACAATGAAGGTAGGTATGTGGGGAACACATGTAGTTCTGTTTGACTGCTTGGGGATTCACTAAGGGTTGGGATAGAAGACTCATCGGACTGTTTTACGAAACAGTTTTTGAGTGTTTCTCCAAGTAAAGCCCTTATCCCATTGGTACCAGGGTCCTTCAGGTCTCAGTACTTTATCCTCAGAAGGGGTAGTCATCAATGCATATTTTGTGATGTTCTTCAGTTTTTGAGAAACACTTTTGTTTCTCAAATGAGACTTTGGGCCTCACGGGATGCAAGAGCTTCTTTGGTCCATAGTAGATCCCAACCAAGGGATCAAGTCAAACAGCCCTCCTGCCTAGAAAGAATAACAGGAGTTGGGATCAGCAATGCCCAGACATTCCTGCTTACTGCTCTCTGCAATTACTTGTGAAAAGATTTCTGCTTCATAAGAAAAGGTAGAAGAGCTCTAAGTTTAAACTACAGCTTTTCTTCTGTATATGAGCTTCAGGGTTTGGACTCAGTCTCCTCAAACCAGGTAGTTGGGAGATTATATATCTCCAAGGTGACCTCTAAATCTAACCTATGGATTATTATTATCCACAGGTTATCCAGAAAGTTCAAGAGACTGCTGAAAAACAAAAGGAAAATAGAGAACTTTATAGAAATATTGACTAGGGATAGGGACAATCTACAGCAAGCACACAAATATGTATTTAGTCTCATTAGAAACCAAAGAAATGCACATTAAAACAAGAGGTGTTGGGATTGAGAAAATAGCTCAGTGGGTAAGAACAGCTGCTACACAAGCAAGAGGACCTGAGTGTGGATACCCAGCACCCACATAAAAAAGGTGTGTGGCTGCTCATGCCTATAACCCGCACAGGGTGCAGGCAAGCAGGGACAACAGGACTGCAGGGGATTGCAGGTAACCAATGTAGCAAAAAGTCAGTAAGCCC